TCTGATAGGAGAGATTACACATACCTAAAACTTGGTATTAGTATGTACTCTGCATAGTAACATAATGCACTGATTTCTTGATTCCTTGACCACTTAGTCATATTTTGTAATAATACCAGCAGATTCCCTCCGTAGGGCAGTATGCACATGTGTACACACACACATACCAACACTCCCCTCTGCTGAAGGTATCAGATAAAGCAAGCTCTGGCTTGGAAAACCTTATGCAGCACTACATTTATTAGCCTTTAACATGCCAAAAGCTTCTGCTGAATCACATTTTCCTTTTATTAAATCTGGGTGAGCAAAATATTGTGATTACCAGCATATCTTTGGTTGCTCACAAACCAGAGAGAATATTCACTGCCCATTGCTCCTTGGCTTAAATACAGCCTTAGAAGACTAGAAGTCTCATTCTGTTTTCCTGGAAATTTCCACTGCACCCCTGCAAGGGCTGACCCCACTGACAAGGCAAGCATTCTAGTTTTCTCTCTCTCTCCTTGCCCATACTGCAGCTGCTCCTCTCTAGTGAGGTCATAAATAAGAAACAGTTAATAACAATTGCCAATAACAGCTAATCAATTTTTGAACACATGAATCTGCCTTATGCTGAATCAGACCATTGGCCCAGATCAGTATTGTCTACTCAGAATAACTTCTTTTTCATTCTCAACATTTCTTTCTTGTAAAACAGTGGTATACATTGGCTGCCTTCAACCACGCCCTTGTATTGTGGTGATTGATATGCAAGACACCAATGCTCACCCAGACTTCAACCACGCCCTTGTATTGTGGTGATATGCAAGACACCCAGATATATATTTGCATATCTATGGGCAGGTACTTGCTATACATATGAGCAGTACAGTGGAGTAGCCATAACTAGCTCCAGGCGCATTTTGCAATAGAGTCTAGTTCAGGGATTCATAACATGGCACCTATGAGCAACCACTTGACAGCTTTCTTGGTGCTCACCAAGTGTTGGCAGGGCCAAATGGGATTGGCAGTTCTCCTAACTGGGATTTGCCCCAATCACAGACGTTGGTGCCGCCGGAACACATCTTGGAACACAGAAAACAGCAGTTGGTTATTGCCTCTGTTTGTATAGTGTATGCCGCCACCTTTATTGCCATCATTACTAGTACTATCTAGCGGTTATGTAGCCTTAATTTATTCATGTATTTTAATGTATTTATTGCCTTGGTGTTTTAATTGTTGTTAGCCGCCTTAAACCTGTTCTGTGGCTAGGCGGGATACAAATCGAAATTATATAAAAAAAATATTTATTAACTTCATGTATACCCCAGCCTTGGCCGGGAGGGCAGGGTATAAATTTGATAAATAAATAGTAACATGTGAAGAACACAGATAAATTGTAATAATATATGGTTTGATCCCACAGAGAACTTCCACTGGTGGGCAGAAAAGGGAGATTTTCTCCAGTTCCCCTCTCCTGCAGTAGACCAGCTTACTCCCCCCAGCGCTATTCCTGTCCCCCTCAGCATTTCAGGGGGATATTTTTTGGCCCACAGCAGGCAGAGGAAGGTGAGAAACTTGCACTCTGGACTGAAATTCCTTCTGCTCCTTTAATACAGGCTTAATGTGTGGAAATGGGAAGTTGGAGCTTTTCATGGCATAGAGTACATAACATCATCTGGCAAATAACAGCCCATTATGCTTCTATTAAAGGGGCAGATTTATTTTTCGCCATACTGTTGGCAACCCTATTTGTGGAGCGGACACTATAAAACAGCTTGCCCATCTTAACAGTCTTAGCCCTGCGTGCAACCTGGAAGACTGTAGTACTGAAGATTTACCTCTCAAGGTTCAAAACCTATATACCCTCAAGTGAAGGCAGGAAAGGTTCTGAAAACATTCCTGAAAGAATTAGTAGGAGGGAGCATCTTCCCATAGATTTGTGTTTCTTGAGAGGAATTCAATTTACATGACCAAGTCTGGCTCTTTCTTTTGTCTTTAACACAGCAGACTGATATGCATGAATTAGTAGGCAAAGCTTTTCCTGCCAGTAAAATGAACATTATCATTTGCAGTTCAAATGGCTTTAAAGGCACAGCTAAAAAACTAGTTTAAAAGTTGGCAGCACTAGCGGGGGCTGCACTAGTGCAGCCAAACAACAGAATCTTGTGGCACTTTAAGGATTAAACAAAAGCATTGTGGCCTAAACTCTTGTGAGCTGAAGTCCACTTTGCCAAAAGCAGTTCTGTTTCACTTTACAAAGGAAAGATCCAGCTGTTTACATACCTCTGCGGTGTGGCAAAATGGAATTACTTCTGCAACAGGACTCCATTGTGAGACTATACACACTGCTGACCTTAAGCCTGGGTTCAAGAGACCACACAGGCCTAAGGGACTGTGACCCATAAAGCCCAGTGTGGCATAGCAGTTATTATTATTATTTATTGCATTTCTGAATCGCCCCATCCCTGAGTACACAGAGCTCTGGGCGATTTACAATAGGTTAAAACATACAGAAATACAATTTAAAACCAACGATCAGTTAATCCAAAATTTCAGTCTTCAGAGGGCATCTATAATTTAATCTAAAACCTGCTCTGGACTGTTCTTCCATCTCATGGGCAGGTTAAGGAGGAGGCTGAAGTGGGCAAGGAAGAAAAGAGGAGGGTGCCAGCTGTGATGGAGATCGTTGCTGTCCTCAACCAAAAGCCTGGTGGAACATCTCTGCCTTCCAGGCCTTGTGGAATTACATTAAGTCCCGCAGGGCCCTGATGGAAGTTGACAGAAAGTTCCACCAGGTAAGAGCCAGGGCCGAGAAAGCTCTGGTCAAGGACAGCCAGATGTCTTTGGGGCCAGGGATCACCAGCAGATTACTCTCAGCAGAGCATAATGCTCTCCCAGGGACATACCAGAGGAGATGGTCCCAAAGATACGCCGGTCCCAGACTGCTCAAGATCTTAAAGATCAACACCAACACCTTGAATCTGACTCAGTACTCCACTGGAAGCCAGTGTTAACTGGCACCGTACAGGTTGTATATGTGCCGTCCATGGCATTCCCATCAAGACTTGCGCCGCCCCATTCTGGATCAGCTGGAGTTTCCAGGTCAGCCTCAAGGGAAGGCCAGCGTAGAGCGAGTTACAGTAGTTAAGTCTGGAGGTGACCGTCACATGGATTACTGTGGCAAGGTCAGGGCACGACAGGAATGGGGCTAATTGCCATGCTTGGCGTAGATGGAAAAATGCCAGTCTGGCAATACTAGTGACCTGGGCCTCCATAGTTAAGAGCTTCATACTAGGATCCTGGAGACTTGGGTTTAAATTCCCCCCTCCCACACTGAAGCTCACTGGATCAGCCATAAGTCTAGTAAATTTTTATCCCACATTTTCTCCAAAGAACGCAGGGTGGCATAGTTAGGTTCTCCTCCCCTGCTTTAAACCTCAAAATCGTTGTGTGAGATAGAATACACTAAGAATGTCTGACATAGCCAGCCAGCAGGTTTCATGACACTATGGGGATTTTAACACAGACCTTCCCAACCCTGCTTTTTCAGCTTAATGAGCCTCACAGGGTGTGAGGATACAACAGGTATCACACTGCTTTGTAGAGGCACTGAATCAACAATCCAGTTGGTCATTTGGGGTGCCTTAATAGCGGTCAACATTCATGCAGCCCTTTCAGTGTTCAAATTGTTTCTCACACACTATTTTCATAATCCTAACAACCTTGAGTAGAAAAGAGCAAGAGTCCAGTAGCACCTTAAAGACTAACCAAATATTCCATTTGTCTGAAGAAGTGTGCTTTGCACATGAAAGCTTACACTTTGAATAAAACTTTGTTGGTCGTAAAGGTGCCATTGGACTCAAACGTCATTCTGCTACTTCAGACCAACATGGCTACCCACCTGAATTTAACCAAATATGTGGCAGGGTATAAGTTTTCGTGAGTCACTGCTGACTTCTTCAGGTACCCTGCCACATATCTGGTTAGTCTTTAAGGTACTACTGGACTCTTGCTCTTTTCTACTGCTACAGACAAACATGTCTAGCCATCTTGATCAACCTCGAGTAGAATTTCAGAGTGCAAGATAGTAATAGCTGTCCACCATATGAACCAGAGGAGAGTTCTGATCTTCAAACCCCATGTCTACACTTTTGGGTGTGGAAAATGTCAGGGTAAAGAATCTCTACACACATTGCATTAGGAACAAGAAACTTTGATTCCCCCACCGACGGCACATGGTTCCTCGTTAGTAAATCCCTACGAATTCCCTTAAGGAATTCTAATATTGACCGCAGTCTCCCACTGTGAAGCTGAGTACTCTTTTATGCTAATTTTAATGTATTTCTGTAATTGTCTCCTTTGACGTTGGGCAACAGAGACGTGAACTGTTCTATCATGTCCGTGAGACAGAATAAAATTCGAGTTCAATGCGAACGGATTGGCTACGAGGATTGCAGGAAGAAGTTTTGGCGTGTCTACTCGGAAGTAGAACCCACTCGTCAGTAGTAGCGCTTACTTTTGAGTGAAACATGCTCTCAGAATTAAGCTGCACGTCAGGAAAGGGGCAAGTTTTTTGGGGGGGTTGCGAAAAAGGGGCCGTGGGAGAGTTATTCTAGAAGCCACCCCTCCCCCCAATACCTGATGCGGGCTCTTCCCAGTAAAAGTCCTCAGAGACGGCTGTGCGGTTAGTCTCTACCACAGGCACAAAAGACTCCGAGTGGACGGACTCTTGTAGCCCCGCCTCCGGGCTCCCCTGGCTGGCCAGATTTCCTTGCCACTCACACGGCCCTCAAACAGCCGTTGAGAACGTTGACCAGCCTCTCCCTCCCACCCCAAGAAAAACCTCGCCTCCAACCTAGCACAGCGATTCGCCGAGGAAGCCGTCCGTCAAACGACTCTGCACGACGACTGGCCCAGCCGTGCGAAAGAAGGCGGCCCGAGGCGTTGAAGAGACGCGGGGGGGGGCGGCCCGAGGCGTTGAAGAGACGCGGGGTGGGGTCCGTCGGTGTTTACTGGGCGTGAGGGAAAGACGAGGGTTGTGGAAGAAGTAACGAGAACTGCGCCTGTTCCTTCCACACCCGCCCACCCTTCAACTTTGGCCCTGGAGTTCGACCTTTTTCGGAAATCTCTGCCGCCACCGACATGGGACTCCGGAAAAAGAATAAGAGCCCGCCGGTCCTGAGCCATGAGTTCGTCATCCAGAACCACGCGGACGCCGTGTCTTGCCTAGCCCTAGGCCTCCTCCTGGGGCTCATGTTCGAGGTACTTCTACGGGAGGGGGGTGGGGAATGAGGCGGAGTGGGCAGCAGCGCGCGCTTCTTGGCTGAGCCACGCCCCTTTCCCCCATGTGTTGACCCTCTCCCTTCTTGGGAGTTCGAGCTCTTCCTCTGGCGGAACTCCTTTTGCTGTATTTCGCACTGTGACGTTCCTGGCGCTTCCTTGGGAGGTGTGTTGTGCTAAAGAGACATCTTATGCCTGGCGAGGCCTACTGTAAGGTTTTGCACATCCTACATCGTTCCCCACCCCCGTCCCCTTCTGCAACCATTGGGCCCCTTTAATCTGCAAGTTGCATAGGTGGGGGAGCAAACTAAGACCTGATCCAAGAGTCATCTGACAGACTGATTGTACAAGCGAGCCAAACGGGGGTATAAGACGTAGCCTCGATGTTCTAGTTGTGCCGTCCTTTAATTAACCTCGCGTTGAGAGGAAATTAAGGACCACGTGAAACCTTCATTGAGAGGTTTTCTGGCCCCTCTACCAGTTTCAGTTTCCAGTATCTGTTTGTCTTGTCCTTCACTGAAACTGGCCACATGCAGTTACGGCATTGGCTTTTAGTGTTGCGACTCAACCCTGTACCCTATAAAGTGATCCCTGAGCATGTTGCAGGGGTCAGTGCCTTCACTGCGAGTAGCTACAAATATTATAAAGTAGTGTTTTCAAGCAGACTTGAACCTCAACATCACTTTTTCTCTAAACTGATTGGTGCTTAGATACGTGGGTTTTAAGAGGCCTGGTCTTGTGTGTCTGTGAGTAGCATTAAGCAAGATCAGATTTTCATAGTGCTAATAAACACATCACATTTATAATGGTGATAAGCTGGTGTAACCTACAATTACAGGTATTGTTGCTGCTGTTCTGTACAGGAAAGTTGTTATCGTTCACTGTATGAGTGGCCCAGTTCTGAGTACATTTGATCAGAGGTGTATGTAGAATTCCTGTATTTAGGGCTCTAACCAAGGTATAGATCACTCATGGCCTAGGGAAGTCATTGATCCTGATGGATGTAAAACTATTCCAAGGTAATCAATAGCAGGATCCAAAGAGTCTCAGGTGCAACTTTGCATGTCATATGCAAGGCTATAAACAGCTGAAATTCAGGGGTTTCTAGATGAACACATCCTTATCCATATGACTCACCAACCCACAAAACAACTCTGAAACAGAAATGATCTGCAGTAGGCTTTAAAAAACAACAACAACCAAACTTTTTATTGATGTGGCATGAAAGTGCTACACATCTGGTAAATTACAGTGCAATACTAAACAGAATTACACCCTTTATAGCCCATTGACTTCAATGGACTTAGAAGAGTATAGCTCTCAGTAGTATTGCACTATTCGTTCTCCTGTCCTACAACATGCATTCTTACAGTTTATTAATTAGAAGGCTGTTAGTTACATAAATTTTAAATCTAGGGCTTCTTAATGCAACTGCACCATTGCTGGCTGGAGCACTACAAACAATTGGTCCAGTGTTAGGTGAGAGTCCCCAGACAAATAAAGGGTCTTGTTCTATGTGCCTGAGGGCTGTTCTTTGTTCCAGGTTCATCATTACCACTCAGACACTACTTCAGGATGGATCAGGATCTAGATTGTACTAATAGGTGAGCTGAAGACAAACTTGTAAAGTCAGCTGTTAGAACCAGGAAATAGATTTGTCTTTAGTTATTTATTTAGCTATTTATACTGATAGGGACCCACAGTGGCTTACAGCATCATTTGCCCATCCTCCATTTTTATCACAACAACAAACCTGCAAGGTAGGTTAGGCTGAGAGAGAGTAACTGGCCCAAGGTCAGCCATGCTATGCACAGTTTGATGGGAGAATGGGGATTCAAACATGGGTCTACCATATTCTAGTCTTGACACTCTAACCACCACACCATGAACAATGTGGCTTACCAAATTGGTCAGTTACTTTCAAGAGGCCTAAATCTGAAATTGTTGAGAGGCAGAAACACCCTTCAAAGACAAGAGAAGCTTGTGGACATGGATGGGTACAGGGAAGCAAGTTTAGAGATGCAGGATAGGATTATCATTCAAGCATCATAGTTACAGAAACAGGCTTGAGGGAGAAAGAAGAGTAATGTAGAAGGTCAGCCACCTGGGGTTTATGATGGAGTCCAAGAATTGTTGTATTCCTTAGGTCCAAGAATTTTCCAGCTATTGTACTTATCAGATAAGACGAAGAAACCTATAGTGACAGCACTAGACAGCCTAGTTGCCACATCTCCCTATATAATCTCCCCCAAACAGTTGAGATGGAGATAGGTTGGAGTGGCACTGTGCTGAGACTGTGTTCATCCAAGACCAGTGTGAATTGCTGGTGGGAAGGTAATCACTTAATTACAGCAGTGGTCTTTGGTTATTTCCTGCCTTCACTCTGCAAACCACTTGCATTAATCTAAATATAACATACGGCCAGAGGATTTGGCATAGTTTTGCTGTCCAATGCTATGGATTATTGGTACAGAGAAACCTGCAGGAGGCTGTTCACATGAACTTTTTTTGGTTTTTTTGCAGGACTGCAGATGTGCTATTTAACTTACAGTGTAGTACGTTTAGATTACATATATGTAATCAAAGTTTACAATGGACAACAATTCCTGTTCAAAAATTAGGATTATCCAAGTGCAAGAGTTTTCTCTTGGGTCTTCAGTAGCAACAGTAATATTTCAGTTCCATTTAGAGTCTACTTTTCTTTATTACTGTTTGATGATACAGTTGCAAGCAGTGGCAAAGACAGTCAAAGTGATAAGCTAGTAGCAGCCTTCATAACTGATGTCTTTTATGGTGTTTACAATATGTAGACATACTGGGTTTTTTCATTGTACAAAGAGTGTTCTAAAGTTTCGTCCTTTCAACACATCTAAAGCCTGTAGATTTGAAGAAATGGTTGCCTCAGACTCACAATGGAAATATAATGGTAGATTAATTGGTTTAACTGTTTAGGCTATGAACCAGCATAGTTGAGATTAATCTCTTTTATTTCAGTGTACTTAAACACCTATGATAGAGTATGTCCATTAGTGTTGTTGATTCCTTTGCCTGTTATTCAAAATGTATAATTCACGCTTCACTTTTTAAAGGATTTTAAATATTCCATTTCACCTTGTGTTAATAAAATAAGTAAAGAAATGTTTGAACTGCTCTATCTTCAAGTTGTTACCTGCTAATTGGGTTTGAATTAAGGGGTCTTTTTAAATAACTGCTGTGATCATTCACTGTACATCACTGCATGTGTGTAATAGGATATCTATACATGGAAATGTCATTGTGAGTATTCTGCATAGAAACAGTACAGAAAGATGTCTAAACCATGTTTCTGTTTCCTCATGCTAAAGGTGAAGCGGGATACATGGGCAGGGGGACTCTCAGGCCTACATCTGCTCTTTCAGTGCAATCCTATGCAGAATTACTCTAGTCTAAACTTGTTGAAATCAGTGAGCTTATCCTGGAGTAACTCTGTATAAGATTTCATTGTTGGAGAGGGAATTAATCTTTAAGATTTCATCTACAGAGGAGCTGTGTCTATATAATTCAGGATATGCAGGACTAAATGTAATGCGGTGCTTTCTTTATTATACACAGAAATGCACAAGTTAGCATAAATTTGAGATATTTGTGCATTTTATGTTTGTGGACTGGCACAGATTTATCCTGTCATCACACATAGTTGTGAGACTGGGAGGAGGTTGCAGACTTATCATTGTCTTTTCTGCAGAGCACTGGGTTTACCTGTTTATTATTATTAATTCTGCACTGAGATTGTTGATGTGAAAGTGGGTTTGCTCTTAATCAGGTTTGAACCTAGTTTCTGATATTTTGAGGAATACTGCATAGCCTTACATGTGGTTAACATCAGTGCAAATGTTATGACTAACCATAACCAAAGATCAGTCCCTTGATCTTAATATCTTACCCATAGTTAAAGGACTGCTAGTGTTGCATTTACATTACCCTTTGGTGTAGTCCACTGATGCAATCCTTTGTGTACACAAATTCAGCAAGATTTGCAGTGCCATTCCAAGCAAAGTTACATCTTTCTAAACCCATTGATTCAAATGCAGGGATAGTGTGACCATTAACTTACAGGGCACATTCCCAATGGGCTGGAAGGCTGCTGAAGCCAGAAGCAAGCAGAGACTAAGCACCAGTAGCTCTGGCAGCACTGCAGGGGCCACCAGCCTCAGACCCAGCCTGTGGTGTCAGTGATGGGTGTCTGCTCAGCTGGTGACGGTGCAAGAGGAGACAATAGATACCCATTGTTGGCACTGCTGGCCACGTCTGCACTGAATAGGGTTAGCCTAAGGCAGGGGCCATTCAGCCTGGCTTGCGCCTGGGCCTTGTTAATCTCCTAGTCTGCCTCTGGTATAGCTCTGTTTACGATGGCTCTATTAGTAGCTATTTTAAAAACCCATGTTATGGACCAGTGTTACTGAGATGTATATTCAAAATACCACAGTTTGAATATTTGTATTTTTTTTTTGTTACCTTAAATTTCAGGTTACAGCCAGATATGCCATCATGTTTATCACAGTTCAGTACAATGTTACATATACTACAGGTAAGAATATACCTGTAATTGCATATATCTATATTTTATACTCTGTCCTTGTTATACCTTTTGAAGTAATACAATATTGATGTTTCTTAACACTAATAATTTATCTAATAGGTTGAATTCAGCAGAGCTGTCAGCAGGGGTGCAGCTCTGCAGATTGAAAAGGGAGGAGGGGTGATTTCACTCCTTTTCCCCTCCTGTCTGCAGCTCTGCAATCTGCAGACCTCCACACAGGTCCTGCAGTCTAGAGGTGTGCAAAAAAAAATCAGCATTTTTCTGATTTGGGACTATATTGCACCTGAAAAATATTGATATTCCCAAATCCTAGTATTGGTATTGTATTCAGGTAAATATTTGGGAAACCTGAATCTATTCAGCTCCATTATACCCTGTGGAGTTCAGAAGGCATTTAAACTTTAAATGCCTTTTGAGTTCACTCACAGCAGTGTGACTCAGCAAATGAACCACAGTCTCTTTAAATGCCTTCTAGCCGCACCTGAATAAAAGCCAAATAATATTGGCTTTTATTCAGTGCAGCTATTTTGGTAGCCAAATCAGATTCTCTTAATCTGTCTGAATTGGCTGAATAAATACTCGAAAATTACAGAGAATATATTTTTTGGGTATTTATTTGGATATACCAAGCGCACACCCGTACTGCAGTCATTGTTCCTGGGTTTAGAAGGGACAGCTGTGGAGAGGAGAATGCAGCAAAAATCCATGTCTACCAGCACCTTCCTTCTACTGATGGATTGTTCGATCCAATCCATTATTGCACTATATCCTGCTGCCCTCCTTCACACAGAAGATTTCTTGGGATGGAGGAATAATCCATACTTAGCTGAATGGAGTGGTGGCAACCCAGTCTCTATAGTTCTGTGGTATGTCATTGCTTGTGGGATGTTACAAAGTAATCAAAACAATAATGGGGAAGAGGGAGGAAAGACATCCCTTCCTACAAAAAGCTTATCTCTATAGTGCTGGAGGATGCAGTGAGAAGATGGGAAAGATGAAATGGAAGCAGCAAGTGCAACCACATTGGCTTATATCTGTCCCCTGTTAGGCATACTTAGGCCTTGTTCAAGTTGCCAGTAGAGAGTAGGGGTTTAAGACAATGGCTTTTAATTGAAAATGTGGATTTTGCATAAGGATTTGAAATCAAGGAAGTGCTAGGAATACTGGAAAAGAGTTCCAAGCATGTGAGACACTGAGAGAGTGCAAGTGAACTATTTTCCAGGTGCAGGGCAATTTTAGGTTAAAAGGCTTAGACTGCATTTTGATTTTCATGGTGGAAGCTGTACTATCTTATCTTAACGTTAACTACAGTATTTCAAGTACGCTGAATCCCTTCCAGCCCAGCAGTTCTGTGAACATACAAATTTACATGAAGTTGTAAATATCTCAAAATCAGTCACCTAGCAGACGTCAAAACCTTTACGTTGAGATTATATTTAACTCTAATATGCAGCAAGCAGCTTTCGTTCTAACTAAATAACACCATAGAAAAGCAACTCTAGTTTTTAGAATGTAGTTAATCTCAGATGATAATTGCTGTGTGTTGAGTACTTCCAAGTGTTCAAGGTTTGCTACATCGTTCAATACATTCTTAGGACAGATTATGCTGACCTCTCCATAAATTATAATATTATGTAGGTTCAAGTATTTAGTAAAGTTTTTCAGAATAGAGAACAAAATTTTATTGTAGCAGACTGTTTAGGATATACATTACTACTGAACATTTATTTTTAAGTGTTTTCTTTTGCTTTCTGTGTTCTTAAGTACAGCTGGATACTGTTGTAATAGCAATATTGTACATTTTCAGATGACCGGCCTGAGCCACTTCATTTCTATGAGTATGGTCCAAAAGACATGGCCACCATCTTTTTCTACATGCTTATAGCCATTATTCTGCATGCAGTGATTCAGGAATACATACTAGATGTAAGTTTACAGTTATTGCATGGGTGTGGATATGTTGGATGTTGTGCATTTTTGATATTGTTTCTAAAAGTTTAATAAACAGAGAAAGTCTTATGTTACCAGCTATATTGTTAACTAATTATTATGGGTAAAAGCAGTATACTCCAGATTTTGGTCAGTTATATTTGGGATCCCTTTGCAAGGTGAATAAGCAGGTTTGCATTTTGATATGGGAGTTGGGGAAGAGCTCCTCTGCATAGATTGCATAAGGCCGTAACTGGCAGTTCACTTGGAGAGAGCCTCCAGAATCAGACTGTAACCCTTGTTTGTCTTCCCCACCTAATTGTGGGGCCAGGATTTCTTTACAAAATGTTTCAGATCTGTGCTTAAGATGGGTGTTGTGCCTTGAAGATGCTGGATCCACTTGTCGCAGGCCCTGTTGTTGAGCAGTCAGATGAATACAGGCCAGAAGGCAGTGCCACATGGGCTGCTCAGTTTAAGAGACCAAATTGCATTAGGTGACTGTGAGGTACAGAGTTTTGTGTCATAGAACTTTGTAAATTAGACAAAATTGTATTGGATATGTCAGTTGGTTTTATAAAATGACTGTGATTGCCCTTTTGGTACATTGCAGGTGACATTAACTTTATAGGGTTCCTGTAAAGCCCTCTTGACATGAATAGACAGCAGCTTGGTAGGTTGTGCCATGTGTCATCAGTATGCCAGTTTCTAAATTCAATTTGGCAACCTATTGATTTAAGGTACATTTTAAATCAAAAATCTTGTAAGTAAAACAGTATGTATTCCAATTGGCCGTTTGTCCCAAAATGAGCCTGCGCCCAGGATCAAAAAACCCCACCCAGCCCCCCAACAAGACCCCAGAGATGGGGTACCTACCTGGTCTGCAGCCATTGGAGGGTAGGAAGGGCACCAGAAAAAAGGCTACCTACCTAAAAAGCCAGTCAGCAGATGATTGAAGAAGGACACCTGGACTGGGGAAACAGGGAAGACTGGGCCAGATGCAGGTGTAGAGGCTATTGGGTGAATGATTGGCTCTTCAAGGTAGCACAATGCTGGAGAGGAGGCAGAGCGCTATTCTAGAGGAGGAAAGGAGGGACCTGCAGTGCTCAGTTGGTGTCCTGTCTTCCCCAATTCTGAGGCTTGAGGAGCCCCAACATGGAAGGCATGACATCTCCTGTCATGGGGAAGGGCAACTGCACAGGAGGGGGCTCTTACACTGTGCTATATAGGCATTCTTACTTCTATATAGGTGTTATGCAGGTATCCTCATTTGTTAAGTAAGACATAAGAATATAAGAGAGAGACGCCAATGTTGGATCAGGCCAAAGGCCCATCCAGTCCAACTCTCTGTCACACAGTGGCCAAAAATACCAGGTGACATCAGGAGGTCCACCAGTGGGGCCAGGACACTAGGAGCCCTCCCGCTGTTGCCCCCCCCCCCCAAGCACCAAGAAGACAGAGCATCACGTGCCCCAGAGTCCCTATCTATATCTTGTGGCTAATAGCCGCTGATGGACCTCTGCTCCATATGCCTATATAATTCCCTTTTGAAGCCGTCCATGCTTATAGCCGCCACCACTTCCTGTGGCAGTGAATTCCATGTGTTAATCACTCTTTGGGTGAAGAAGTACTTCCTTTTATCCATTCTAACCTGACCACTCAGCAATTTTATTGAGTGCCCATGAGTTCTTGTATTGTGAGAAAGGGAAAAAAGTACCTCTTTCTCTACCTGCTCTGTCCCATGCATAATCTTATAAACCTAGCTCAAACAGTTGCATAAAGTCTCAGAACTGCAGAATGAATTTCTCAAACAGAAAACTTTGGAATGATTCACAGTGAGCAAGTAGCATAGAGCCCGAACTGCCCTGTGCAGCTGATGCCAGGTGTTGAAATCTACAATCTACTCCTGGTGTGATCTAATGCAACACCCAAACTGGGAAAGCCAGTTGAGTCATGACTTCCTCACCTTCCCTGGCTAACCTCTAGGAGAGTGTAGCAATCACACACGCAGAACCAAGACCCATTGAAGAAATATCTCTACATCAGTGCCAGTAACCATAGAGTATGGAAGATAGCACTTCAGGGGTATGTACCATGGTGTGCAGTTCCCCAGTACCAACTTCTTGTTGTGATGATGTTTAATGAAAACAGGAAGAGTAAAAGGGTACTGTGTGCAATGACATGCTGTTGTCGTCATCCCATCTAGTGCCCGGGTTTTGTTTAGTTTTCTTTATAGATCATTGTATTTCTCTTTTTTGAGTCCACACTGAGGAGAAAAGCTGGATGCAAATAATTAAACAATAAATTAATTTAGATCTTAGGATTCTTTAGGTCAATCTCCTGGCCGCTGTGCAGCTATGCCAATATAGGGTGGTGATAGGAAAGCATCTGCTTGGGGGATGATGGAAAAGCATTGCTTACTGTGCCGCCATTTCACAGTTCCTTTGGGACTTCCACATCTGCGTGGCTACGTAGGAGTCTGCTAGGCCTGCTGACTGTGATCAGCCTTTACCTCTACTGCATATGAGAGGCAGTGACCAGCTTGGGTCACATTGTAGTGAGTCTGCTGTGCATGTTACCTTATCATGTGAACAAAAATGTTTAATGTGTTTGGAGGGCTGCTGTGGCAATTAATATGAAAGGATAGATCTGTTGTGGCTCTCATTCATAGAGCTGACTTGACTAATAGTAACAAGTAAATGGCAGGACCTATTTAGAGACTTGCAATATTGAAACGTAAATGCTGCAATTAAGAGATACTGATACAGTAGAATTTTTAGACTGGTTTCTAAGGCAAATGTATTATAGTGAATAAAGAGTGTCATGCATTTCCTAATGTATTATGCTTTTTCAATTTCTAGAAAATTAATAGACGTCTCCACTTGTCAAAAACAAAGCATAGCAAATTCAACGAATCAGGACAACTAGCATTTTTCTACTTGTTTTCATTTGTCTGGGGAACAAGCATTTTGTCTGCAGTAAGTAAGTCAAGTTATTTCTCTGATATTTATTTTAAATGTACACTAGTCCAAAATATTTTTTTAACTTTATATTAGTCCTAAGTAACACCCAAGACCTGGTGAGAGATGTTAAAGTGATTGCACCGCTTGGGAACAGTGACCATAATGTTATTGAGTTCAGCATTTGTATAAATAGGGAGTTGCCCAAAAATACTGACACAACCACTTTTAACTTTTTTTATTACTTAAAGTTTTTTTTTATTTTTACAGTAAAAACAACAAAATACAGTGATAACAAATATCAACTGTAGACTTAGATAGTAACTTCTCTGATATGAGTGGACATGTGAGGAAGAAACTGAAAGGAAAAGTAGAAAGGGTCAAAACCATTGGGAAAGCTTGGAGACTATTTAAAACTACAATCCTAGAAGCTCAGAAAAAATATATACCGCAGGTTAGGAAAGGCACAAATAGGTATAGAAAAAATTCTGCATGGTTAACAAAGTAATGGAAGCTGTAAAAGGTTAGAAGGATTCCTTTAAGCGGTGGAAAGCTAGTCTCAGGTTGATAAAAGGGAACACAAACTGTTGCAAATAAAATGCAAGTCTGTGATCAGGCAGGCAAAAGGGGAATATGAGGAGCATAGAACAAAAAACATAAAGACCAACAATAAAACTTTCTTCAAATACATTTGAAGCAGGAAACCAGCCAGGGAGGCAGTGGGGCCCTTGGATGACCAAGGGGTAAAAGGAGTAATGAAGGATGATAGGGAAATGGCTGAGAAGCTGGATACATTTTTTGCCTCTGTCTTCCTGTGGAAGATGAGAAGTGCTTGCCCACTCCAGAACCACTGATTCCTGGAGGGGTGTTGAAAGACCTGAGTCAGATTGAGATGATGAGAAAGGAGGCCCTATGACTGATAACTTAAAAACTGATAAATCACGAGGCCCAGATGGTATACATCTGAGAGTTCTGAAAGAACTCAAATGTGAACTTGTGGATCTCCTGACAAAAATATGTAATCTTTCATTAAAATCTGCCTCCCGTCCTGAGGACTGGAAGGTAGCTAATGTCACTCCCGTCTTTAAAAAGGGTTCCAGAGGAGATCCGGGAAATTACAGGCCAGTCAGTGTGACGTCCATACTGGGTAAGTTGGTGGAAACTGTTATTAAAAAAAGAATTAGTAGGCACATTGATGAACAAAACCTGTTGAGGAAGGCTCAGCATGGGTTCTGTAAGGGAAGATCTTGTCTCACTAACCTGCTAGTGTTCCTTGAGGGAGTGAACAAATATGTGGACAAGGGGGACCCAATAGATGTTGTTTACCTTGACTTCCAGAAAGCTTTTGATAAAGTTCCTCATCAAAGGCTCCTAACTAAGCTCAATAGTCACGGGATAAAAGAACAAGTCCTTTT